ATATTAAAACTGTGCAATAATAATTCACATCAGTGTCTCTGATACAACATTTCTACAGTTATCTTCAGTCATTAACTCCGTCACTGCAAAAATTGGTTTGAAAAATTTTTGCATAACTTTTATTTGATCCATAACTAGCATATAATCATATCATAATTAGAGATGTTGCGAACCATCCGCGAACTTCTCGCGAACGGTTCGCCACGAGCTGTTCGCAGCGAACTCCGGTCAGCTGACACGTCCCGGCCAATCTCCAGCAGACCCTCCCAGACCCTCCTACTTCCTGGACAGTTCAACATGGATGCTGTCCAGGAAGTAGGACGGTCTGGGAGGGAGGGTCTGCTGGAGATTGTTCGGGACGTGTCAGCTGACCGGAGTTCGCTGCGAACAGCTCGTGGCGAACCGCGGCAAACCGTTCGCGAGAAGTTCGCGGACGGTTCGCGACATCTCTAATCATAATACCAGGGCTTAAAATTTTATGTACTTTGCTACTAGTCAGGTTTTAAAGTTACTCACCACTGAACACCATAACACGCTCATTAGGGCTGAAAATCTCATCGCCAGGGCTAAATTATAACTTGCCAATGGCCAGTGATGAGTGGAATTTTTGGTAATACAGCAATTTTGGGTATTATCTGGAGAAGTCATCATAAGTTGCAATTTTAGTTGAATTTGGAGAAACCACTTGAAGCATTTGTTGTGTTGAGCTATTTTAGTTGCTTTTGTTTGATTTGTGCATTGCAAACCGCTGAAAATTTTGACAAAAAACCTGATTTTCAATGGGATTTGAATAATTGTGATTACGACTGTATGTCATGTAGGGGCACTCTACTGAATTTGCACAGATAAATAATGGGCTCTAATCAATGTTGACAAAAATACATAGACACACTAGATAGTTACTATATGCCAAAATTTGTCCGGTTTTACCATTGGATTCATTCAAACGCATAACTGACTTCCTTGTCATAACTATATACCCTTCAAATCACCAGGGCAGAATCTTTTGTCCTTACTGGAGCCCAGAAGCCTGTCAGTGTACCCTTTTCATGTCAATGAGCCCCTGGCAAGTTCAATATTCTTCTAGTCCAAAGCAACTGGTTAGCTATCTACATCTGCCTGTGAGTTGCTGCAATTTGAGTAGGGCAGATGCTCTGCTACTTGTCCTGCTTGCCAGCTCCAATAGAGAACATGCAGTTATATAAGTTCCCCATGCCTTTGCTAATGGCGTTTCTCATACCTAGTACCTGGTAATGGTTATCTCTTGGTGCCCAGTTTCCACCTACTTCCAGAAGCCTTGGCCTCTCATGCTAGTGGAGAATCAGCCCTGTCAAGGAGATTGCTGAAAGAAAATACTGTGAGGAAGAGTCCAAGAAGACGAAAAAGATATTTGGGCAGACATTACCAAAAAGGAGAAAAAAAGTGAAATGAGGGAGAGGTCAGGCAAGTTGGGACAGAACACTGCCAGGGTTATTCACCAAAGTGAGAATTCAAAGTGAAATCAAAGAGAATTTCAAATTTAAATAGCCAAAATGGAAGCATGGTCGACCTAAAGATTTTTTTTCAGTCAGTCCATTTTCAACTTAAATTTGAAATTCACTTTGAATCTTCAATTTTAGTAAATAAACCTGAGTGTTAAGAGTGAAACTAGTGGGAGGAGGCTGAACGCATTAGCAGATGCTTAAGATGTGTGGCGCCAGAGACCAAGAAGAAAAGAGAGGGTATGGGAGAGTAGAGAACAGTGGCAGTGGGACGTTTATAAAGGAACAGGCCAATGGGAGAGGTAAAGAGCAATGTTAAAAAATTTAAGTCGAATAGCCTTTTTTGTGTAATGGGAGCGATATGTCTATGTGTGATAGGTAATATCTACCTTGAACCACTATTTGATGCAGGAAATACTGATGTGTATGTTAGATACCTATTTTTTTTTCAAACATGTCTGAACCTAGACATATCTGTTGTTTTGTACTGCTCATGTTCAGATTTTTTTTTTTTATATATTTTTTTGATAATATTGTAAGCATTGAATGTTATGTGCTTTTAGTAAATACTTTTCTGCATATTCTGACTGAAATTCCTATTCACGTGATTTGAGGCACTACATACATTTATGTTCCTCAATGCTCAGTTGCTATGGTGATTTGATAATTAGGTATTGTGTCAATGGTCTGCATTTTTTCACTGTTAAGGTCTGATTAGTGATTACTTTATCCTTAATGCAAACTAGCTGCTGTTACCCTATCCATTGTGTTTTGAGATCTCTTGGCTTTATCATTGGCATATAAGACTTGTAGAAGATTTGAGGTGGAGTGTTTCTATTTAAAGTGGAATGATATTGAAATAAAATGAAATGCAGTGTGTATCATTCACCCTTCTGCATGTAACACATGCTCTTAATCTCTCTGGTAGCCATGATAACAGAATGACTCATCAACGAATTGCTCCCAAGGGACCAGAATGTGAATTTCTTATTTTTCCTGGTTGTTATGAATTTTATATTATAACTAGACTCTGTTCACTTGTTCATAATGTATTAAAATTAGAGAATTTATCCTCTTACAATTGTGATGTGGAGATTTTGCAGTGAATTGCATAACCTTGTCAAACATTTAATTACATAACAACATTCCCAATGGATAAAGAGGGGCTCTTTAATTGTAGGGCTGTCAGTGTGGTCAGGGATGGGACTGTTCTAAAACATTTTAGGTGAATTACTAATAACAAATTTAGCAACTAAAATGTATTATAAAACAAGAAAATTTTAATTATGCAGACTGATTTCTAAACACATGTATTGTAGTTTAAAGACACATTTCTGTGAGTATTATCGCTGTGGAGATCTGTTATAGACTCAAACATACAAACAATATTGAAAAAGAGAGAATTAGGATAGAAGAAAGGGACAGAGGGATTTGGACGCAAAGAAGGTACACTTGGGAGATATGTCATTAAAGTCATAAATGCTGAGCTGGACACAAATGTCTGTTTTGCTATGTTGAAGTGACCTGTATTGGAGCCATAACAATTTTTTTCAAGCACAATCAATTTACATAAAAATATGTAATAGTCACCAAAATAGCTTTAGCTTAATAAAGCAGTTTTGGTGTAGCAATCATGCCACTGTAGTCTCACTGCCCAATTCTTGGCCATTTAGGAGTTAAATAATTTTATTTGTGCAGCCCCAGGCACACATCTCTGCATGTGACTTACACAACCTTCCTATACACTTCCTGTAAAGAGTCATCTAATGTTTACACTTTATTACAAATTATGTTTAATTTAGAATTTCTAACCTCCTGATCTGTTAATAGCTTGCTAGACCTTGCAGGAGCCTCCTGTATGTAATTAAAGTTCAATTTATAGAGGTCAGTGTCAGTCACAGCCAGGAAGAATAGCTAGGGCTGCATAAACAGACACAGTGATTTATCTCCTAAATGGCAGTGAATTGAGGAGTAAACTTCAGAGGCATGATCTAAACACAAAAACGACTTCATTGGGTTCGGAGGTTGACTGCTGAGCCGACCAGATATGCTCAATGAGAGCTCCTGGGTTGGGCACCGTTAACTTTGGTCTAATCGGGGGCAAATTAACCAATCTGCCTACAAACAGTACTCACCCTGTCAAGCAAGCGCCGGTGCACAAGTGGATGTCAGATCGCCCAGAATGAGTCCTGCGGCCTACACGAGCATGAGCTGAGGAGGGACGGCCACTCTCCCAACCCTCTGGCCTCTGAGCAGACCACCACACATAGCTGCCCCCCCCCCTTTAGACCAGTGGGGGTTATCCCGGTCCACATGGACTTGCCCCACATACCTGTGCTGAATCTAAGTACCTGCAGTGACACAAGCTTCAACTGCAGTGGGCCCCCTTAAGATGACGGATGCGCAGTTCCTCCACATGTGAGAGCCTTTGAGTGTCCAACGAAGTTCAGCTGAATATATCCGGATACTCCTGGTGTCACATCCTGTTCTATTCTGCGGAGATGTCTGGCCTTGGCTTCTGGTATCTAGTACTCCTTTTACAATTCTTGTTTAGTTTTTCTGGTTTTCTATTCTATGTCTGGTTTTCTTTATGCTGGGTTTTCTGGCTTCATTCCTTTATTCCGTTCCTGGAATTCCCAGTCTCCTGGATTCCTTTAAATGTTTGGGTTTTTTTGCCACACCCGTTCCTTTGCCATTTAATCCTTTTTGTTTCAGTCTGGTCCTGCAAACAGTGGTCTCATTACCACTGCTTCTTTCTTTGCAGGTAAGTAATGTGTGTGTTTTGTTGTTTATTTAGTCATGCATATCTAGGCAGTTAGGACCCACTGTAATTGGAGTACTTTGGCGCAGTGGTGGGCTGCATACATCTTGGCCATTTATGTATGTCTAAATCTCCAATGTTTTACATATATAGTACTTAGTTATGTCTCCTCTTGTTTTGTTTTGCCTTGCATTTCTTGTCTTGTTTTTTTTGTCTTCCCAGTTCATGTACAGTCCTGTTCTGCCCTGTTCATGTTTCCCTCATGTCATGTGTACATGTTCTGGGTTCTGCTTTCTGTCCTGCTCTAGTTCTGGGTTTTTCTAGTCTTGTCTTGTTTTCTTGTCAGGTGCCTGTTCTAGTCTTGCCTTGTTTCTGGACTGGATACATATCTGCTGCAGAGCCTCCCTATCCATATCCTGGAAGGTCTGCATATTTTCATCTGCTCCTGGAACCGCAGAAGCTGCTTCAGGGCCCTGGTATGTGGCCGCACAAACGCTGGTGCTCAACAACAGGGGGTGTGTGGTTACCCTGCACCAGGCCCTGATAGTCCATTTCCACGCTGAGACTCCCTTCATCATCAGACACTCAGGGGTCCCGGTCTCCGTACCGCCACCTGTGACACCTGGATTGGTTATTTGAGAACTTCTGGGAAAAGTTGTAAGCCTGCATTCCCACAACATCGACTTAACACCAGTAGAAAGAACGGAGAGAAGTGGTGAGGGGGCACAACTACCTTGCAGGCACCAAATTCTCCCAGCATGGACCTACCCGGGCTGACAGCCAGATGGGAAATACTCCTGCCACATCAAGTACCAGTGCTGCTGGCAGCGACAACCCACCAGGAGCTTCTGCTGTATCCTGTTATGGAAGAGCATGGACTTACCAACGAGCCTGGGGCTGGGGTTGGGCTCTACCTGTCTCCTGTCTCACAGTGCCGCTCTATCGGGGCGTCGACGTGCCACATCGGGCCCACTGTTGGAAACCACCTAAAGGCTTGCTAGACTGTCTCCCATCTGTAAGTTAATGTTTCTCCACACTGATGAGCGTATAATGAGCCAGATTGCTTTGCTCCAGTATTCATTTTACTGACTTTCGTGATACAGTTTATTGGTTTTGTGCTGAGACAGTGGGGTAGTTCGTGGTTACACTATTTTGCATGTCTAGTCTGTTTTAATGCTAGCTTCACTACTAATACTTAGCCTAGTTAGTTACTCCAGGCATTCACCTTATATTATTTTAAAATCTACTTATGTACATTGGGCATTTTTTGTTTTATCACATACGTCGATCATACTATCAATAAGCACAGCCTACTTTCAGAGTAACTCACAAGTATATCTCTATAGTAGCATCTTGTCTCAATGTGTGTGAAATGCTTACCAATCAAGTAATTCTTGCATGCCATGGTACACCTGGTTTAATTAACTCTTGCAAACAAAATCTTGAATGTTTAAACTTCATCTGTTCATAGTCTTGATGCAACAGTTTTGCATGTTTATAATTTACTGTAATTGATAACAAATTAGCCAGTCATATCTAGGAGATGTTAAAAGCATGATGTGATATCCCTATCTTGTGTCCATCTCATGCATCGCCCTTTCTTTATTCTGTACCACCCAAATAAAATGCCTTAATAAAAGAAAGATTGACGAACAAACAAAAAAAAACAACCTATTTTATTAAGCTAAAGTTATTTTGGTGACTATAGTGTACCCTTAAATATTCATCAGCACAGAATATTTACCTGTATATTCTTTCACAAACATGCTGTACTTACACTCAACTGTCCAACGTTGCAAAACCATGCTTTGTGCTGAATTAAATCACTGAACATCACATAACTCTGCTCTGTTAGTCTAACTGACAATATATTCTCATTTAATCTGTTAATGTCACTCCCTGATTATTACATGCTCCCTTCATTCCATGTATTTCCTCTCATTCCATACTACTCATCATTGTATCTTTTTCCATCTCATCCGCATCAATGTACCCCCATCATTCCAGACCAATTTATTCCATGTCTGATGTCTGACACTATCTCTCACCCCATTTTATGTCTCCAATTTTCCTTCCATGTCCTCCACATTCCATCTCTTCCCTTACTCAATATCCCCTCTATTCCGTTTCCTTTCCAGTTGGTAGAAAAGGATTAAGATCCTACAAGGCCCTTGGCACATTACTAGTTTGGGGCCCTTCTTCATTCTTCCCATAGGGATAGTGAGTGGGACCAAGCAAATTAATAGTTTCACTGCCTCTTTCTAGCTCATGGCCCCTAGGTGGATGCCATGGCTACTTTTTGGTTCATCCTGCTCTGCTATCTGATATGCCATAATTTCACTCTGCCCCTTCCATCTTCTTCCTCATCAATTGATTCCTGATCTTCCGTCACATCACTTCCATATTTGTAATTTTTATCCTTTCTATTTCTTCTGCTGGCTGCTGATTCTTTCATCACAGAGCTGTCAATTGTCCCTGAGGATGTTGATGCTCAGCTTGGGAAGTACGTGGAGTTAAAGAAAATATGATGTCATAATCCCAGGAGCTCCATAATGTACACATTGACAGTGAGGCTGTGAGAATTATTTTGTGACATTCTGACTAGGATTTAACCCCTTAAGGACCCAATACCTTGGGTTGTCTACTATTGCAAATGGTATGCCATCATGGGGGTAATTCTCATTCTTGGGCTACAATACGGTCTTAAAGGCAACGTAACCAATCTGGTGAATTTCAATGTGAAAAAACTGAAAAATATAACATGCTAGAATTGACCCTGTAACTTCCCAAAACACCATAAAACCTGTACATAGGGGGTTCTGTTTTACACGTGAAGCATCGCTGAATAAAAATATGCGTATTTTATTGCATTAAAAGCAAACAGTATTATGACATTCACAGTTAAAATGTTATGTAGAACCAAAAAAATTTTAAAAAATCTTATTTTCTCCAATTTATTTTATATTTTATTAATATTACATTATGTTTCATAGCTAAATATTTGATGTTAAATGAAAGCCCTGTTTCCCCTGAATAAAATTATATATAATAAGTGTTGGTGCACTTAATATAAAATAGGTGAATCACGGTTGAACAGACATATAGTCAAATTCCAGGTTTTGTTTACGTTTTGTTTTAATCACAACGTGTACATTTGGCTCTGTCCTTAAGGGGTTAATAAACCCTACTAATCACTGTTTTCAAATAAACATGAAATAAACTCTACTGATCACTGCACACTCATGGGGGATTCAATTTAATTAAAAAAGAAAAACTGACTTTGGGCCATCATTAAGACTCTGCCTGACTGCCAGTTGGACAGCATTGACCTATGCTAATGATTTGTTAAAAAGTATTTCATAGTGTGACCATAAACTGTCATAATTCAGGTAAGTTTAGTAGGTTAATGTGTCTGTTGTAGAGATTGTCACCGATATGACTTCTGGTGCAATCACTTTGAGTTTAATACTTTTGAGGTCTTTGAAATGAGTAAATGTTAAGTAACTAATATTTCCTGACTTACTGTAAAGTGATTTAATGCACCCTTGAGGGACAGATAGAGCTATTGAAGTAGAGGATTATTAAATTGCATTCTCAAGTCCAGTATAATTTTTTTTTAATGAATACTCTAATGTTCTATTTGTAGTTAATGCATTAGGCTGCAGTAACATCCACTTGCATACCAACATTATTTAGCAGGCGTACCAATAAGTGGATCACAATTAGCATGTAATTATAGGTTTACATACTAATCGTTCTAATAACACTGCATAACTGTAGACATTGACAACATAATAGCACTACCTGAAGAACCTGCAATGCATTACCCTCAAGTGGTTAATGCTACATGTTACCAATTAAGTGGTTTAATATTTACCATGTGAAATTGCAAAAAATAATAATCTCTTTTGATTTACGGTATATGCTTCTTTTCAAATAATTGCTTCCCTAACTGTTGAATTACTATCTTGGCAAACATAGAAAGTTCATAGAGGCAATTTAAAAGGAAATAGGAATAAAAGGTGCAAGGTTAGATTTATAAAACAATGACTCTTGTAAAATGCACATACTTTACATTAACGTGTGTTTAGCTCTAGTGAACACTAAATAAATTCCTACTGTCGCACAATGGTTTAAATAAGGAATGTGTTAGAAAATAAATTACAACTATTCAACTATTTCTGTAGACATAAGCTCCAAAGAAAGAAATTACTTCTTTTTTTTTTTTAAACAAAGTTCTGACTTCATATATTTGGCATATAAATAATTTTAAAACATCAATATTTTTCTATCTAGGGCCTTGATTAAATATTGTTGGATAAGCTTTCCAAATGATCTTGGATATATTTAAATAATTAAATTTTATTAAAACATATTTTATTTTTGAATTTAATGTATAGTTTTGTAATATTTTGATGTATTTTTTTTATATATGATAAATATATAATGTATTTTGAAATGTTAATATGTTGGCAAATTATAATTTTAAAATCTTATCCAAAAATATTAAATCATTTAAAAAGCTTATCCAACAATATTAGATCAAAAGTAACCAAAAGTATTGACATATCAAAAATATATATATATATATATATATAAAAAAAAAAAAGAATTAATTTTACAAAAATAAAATCAAAATATTAAAATATTTAACACACTATTAAGCTATTTACGGCCCACATTTTAGTAAATTGTTCACATTTAACACTTCAGCATGGTGATCTTTCAGGCTGATGTTGTCATCTTTAAATATACTCGTCAATGTGCAATACTCATAGGCAGTAAATGATAACAAAAAAAGCTATTGCTAGCATAAAACATCAACCAAAAGGAATCTAGTGTTTTGACAGCTGAGCCAATACGCTTCCAACAAATGGGAAAGCAAGGGTAAATGTTGGATTTGAATAATCATGATGAAAAAATTATCATGTTCAATGATGATGTGTAATGTGTATTCCAGGTTCCTCTGTGGTCTACAATTAGGTCTATTGTATATATTGTATAGATGTATTTTCTGTGCTAATTAAGAATCATCTGCTCAAGTTCCTTGTTAAAGTTCAAAACAGGGTTAAGCTTATTCCATTGTATATGGACACGAATGTCACATGTTTGTACCACGTATTAAACAGTCAAGTCTTTTGCTGCTTCAGTCACTGTGTCCTGCTATCATTGCTAAATATAATACTGTCTCTACCAGGATTTGTGACATTATGCCATATATTATTGATATGATTTATGGGAGAAGGTTAGTCTGCTTGAAACTGTAAACAACCTTAATAAACCATTCAGCATCTATATGAAACTTTTGTGGTTTGAGAAGATAGAATAAAAAATATTCTCAGAAATAAACCTGATTTTAAATGCATTATAATGGTAATGCATCACTAAATTTAAAATAATGAAAAAATATATAAAAAAATACCATAAACCATTCAGCATCTATATGAAACTTTTGTGGTGAGTATTTTTTTAATATTTTTTTTCATTATTTTAAATTTAGTGATGCATTACCATTATAATGCATTTAAAATCAGGTTTATTTCTGAGAATATTTTTTATTCTATCTTCTCAAACTGGTGCAAAAAAAGTCTACCAGTTAGCCACCTTCAAGAGCATGAGGATATTTTTGTTTCATTTTAAATAGAAAAGCTTCTTGTACTATAACCACTGCAATGAGCTCTAGATGCCACAGTTCTTAGAATGTCCCTTTAAATGTCCCTTTAAAAAAAAAAAGGTGTTTCATACTCTATTGAGCATAGGCCTCCCTGAAGTTGCCTTCCCTAAGTAAAATATCTAATCAGCAAATCTCAAGATGCTTCAAGCTATGGTGTTATCCTTAGTTATTAGCTATTTTTGTTATTTATGTATTATATGAAGCATTCCCAGTTTTATAAGGACATAGTGACACATTTATAGAGTTTGGAAGACATTGCCACCATACCAATAATTTCTTCAATATTAGTCTTAAAAAAATATAAAAAATGATCTACTCCTGAATTTG